AATATTTCTGTAATCAACATATTTGCGATATCTATTACGGCATTCAGAAATCTGATTTTGTCAGCCAATAAGCTTCGTTTACCACAAGTGTAACAAGAGTTTCCGATTGGCCCACATTGCATGTTTGTATCCACTAATTTGCCTTGAAATCTGGCATAAAATATATATACTGTACACTGGGGGTGCGGACTCTGGAGGTGCTGGTTCTGGGGGTGTTGGGTGTCCTATGGGTACAGGAGGAGCTGGAGGTGCTGCAGTTGGAGCTGTTGGAGGTGCTGGTGGTTCTGGAGTTGGAGGAGCTGGGGGTCTTGGTGCTGGAGCCGCTAGTGCCGGCGGTACTGGTGCAAGCGCTGGACGTACTGGAGGTTCTGGAGCTGGTAGTACTAGAGGTACTGGAGGTGCTGGAGCTGCTGACAATACGGGTACTACACCGCACCGACCGTTTTTCTACCCACAGCCGCAGCCGTCCCTACCACCGCCAGACTCGGCACTTCGTCAGGTTCTTAGTCTTCCGTCTTCCAATGGCCTTACTCCGCGACTTCGGTCAGCAACAGGGGGTCGACTTCTTCCATACCTTCTCCCCCACCCCGAAGATGACAACTCTTCGGGTGTAACTGCACGTTGCAGCACAGCGTGACTACGAGCTTCACTCGCTTAACTTCAGCACAGCTTTCTTGCAAGGCAGCCTGCACGAAGAGATCTGGCTGCGCCGCCCACCTGGCTTCACTGGGTCATTTCCTGAGGATACCTAGTGGAGCCTCCGGCAGCCAGTCTACGGTCTCCGCCAGGCGCCTCGCGAATGGCACAACACACTGAGGACGACGCTTGCGGCTCTTGGGTTTGCTCCTTCTGCTGTTGACCCGTCGCTGTTTCTATGCACCGACACTTCTCTGCCGCCGTTCTACATCCTCGTGTACGTCGACAACTTGGTCTTTACTACTGCTGATACCAAGGCACTGGCCCTTGTGAAGTCGGAGCTGCAGAAGAGACACACATGCACTGACTTGGGTGAGCTGCACAGCTATCTTGGCTTACAGATCACCCGGGACAGAGCACGGCGCACCATCACTTTGACTTAGTTACACATGGTGCATCACGTCCTTCAGCGCTTCGGCTTCTAGTTCTCCACGCCACAGTTCACTCCTTTGCCTACAGGCCACTCGGTCTCAGCTCCACCTTCGGACGAGTGCGTAGAGCCGAGTGGTCAGTATCCAGAGCTTGTGGGCTGCCTCATTTATCTTATGACCTGCACTCGACCTGACCTCGCATACCCTCTCACCATCCTGGCGCACTACGTTGCGCCTGGGAGACACCGACCAGAGCACTGACTGGCTGCTAGGAGGGTGTTGCGTTACTTGTGCAGTACATCCGGCATGGGGCTCGTGCTTGGAGGACGGGGTCTAGTTTTACTCACTGGACAGTCAGACGCTTCTTGGGCAGACGATCAGGCAACTCAGCCGTCGTCTCAAGGTTACACCTTCAGCCTTGGCTCTGGATCAGTTTCTTGGATTTATACTCACTCGTCCTCTGTTCTCAGCTCCAGTTGTGAGGCTGAGATCTACGCGGGGGCCATGGCTGCACAGGAGTTACGCTGCTGACCTACTTGCTTGCCGACTTGGGAGAGCGGCGTTGTTCTCCTCCAGTGCTGTACGTCGACAACAAGGCCATGATTGCCTTGTGTCAGGACCACAAACTGGAGCACAGAACGAAGCATATCGCTTTGCGTTACTTCCTTGCACGAGAGTTGCAGCAGCGTGGTCAGCTTCGTCTTGCTTACGTGGTCTCACGGGCCAACACTGCTGATATTTTAACCAAGGCACTTCTGTCTGGTGATCATCAGTGGTTCTGCACTGCTCTAGGCCTTGTGCCTACTCTGCCTCACTTCCTTACTGCTTGATTTAGCCTTGTACAGTGTTCTTTATATATGTACCTGCATGCTTACTCTTGCTAGGTTGTGATCTTTGTACTGCATGTGCTCTTTATAACTCTGCATGTGAACTGGTATTTTGACCATTTGCTTGTGCTCGAACTGTGTGGTGACTTTGTGATCCATCCTGAGTTGTGCCTTGCTTCTTCTTCTGACTAATCTTGTGACCATAGCTTGCTCTGTCTATCCCCCATTTCGCCTATGAGGGTGTGTCAAAACATATATGTTTGTATTTATGTAGGCTGTATGTGAGTTAGCACTAGGGGGTACAAAACCTTTCTCGACATTGTTCTTGTCCCCCCTCCTTTCACCTAGTCGACATCATTCCTACCTATTTAAACATGGCCACCCCATACAATTTGGCTAGGATCGAGCCTGAAACATCAAACTTTTACCAGCTATTCCACGGCCTGATATTGTCAGACTGGTGTTAATGCGAACCGATGGCGTCGATTGCTTTCCTTCGACTTCATTTGTGATTGACCCATAATTTATCCAGACCGATGGCGTCGATTGCTTTCCTTCTAACCTCATTTGACCCATTATTGTATACGATATATGAATTGCTAGCCTGACATCTACTGACTCTTCATAACCCTCCTTCATTTTGCACTCGTCATACTTATCTTTCTTTTCCATTTCTTTGACATAGAAGTACATTCCTTACTCCCTGTTTAGTAAACACTTTCATTGTTCTCATATTGATTTCCTTATTTATTAGTTCATTGTGTTTTTTGTTGTGAATGTTATTACACTAGAAACAGTGCGTACATCAGTCGTAAGTGAATAGTTAGCTCATTGTATTGGACGCAACCATCAGCATATAACAATACTTGTAATGTTTAATTCATGTATCTATATCACATCCTAAGCAACGTATTCAAAACTGTGCCACACTGTACCCACGTTTTCCCGCCCGTCACCCAACCTCATTGGCTGGGAACTCTGACATGGCAGTTTGGCACGCAACTAAACGAGAGGCCCGGAGTGACCTACCTACGTGAAACGAAGGAACCGAACCGAGCGAGCTGGTTCGGTGGGGCGCGACATTTGTGTGTGTGATTGGCTTGTCCGTGTCCAACGTCTCGGTTTGACTTGTCGTCCCCTTGTTTGAAGGCACTAACATGTCCCACACATCGCAGCCACTCCACCTAGCCGATGGATTGCTGTGCGGGGTAAAAGGGGAAGAATCTCAAGCATACATATTGTGATTTTTGAACAGCCAATCAAGGTTGTTTGTTGTGGGTCATGTGGGAACCAATCGGAGCCACTCTTTCGCCACTAGTTTGGCTTCGCTGCACTTGCTGAGCTGGAATAGAGGCGGAATTTCCGTGTGTGAGAGGGGGTAAAGGGGGAGGGTTTCGGGGCAGAGGCGGGTTGAGGTGGGGTGGGGGGAGATGCAGAAGAGGGGGATGGAAAACGCGATGTAGAATATGGGTGGTTACCCAGCGTCCCTTGAATACAGCTTTCCAGCTGACAAATTAGTGGTCAGCGCTAACTGGCCTCGCTGTACCCATGTTCTTTCGTACAAAGGTCGCCTTATGTGACAATTTTCTGGGACTGCCTCGGACTACCAAGTTTCAAGCTATAATACCCTGAAGTTGAAGCTTGTGTGAATGCGCTACCGTGTGGTGTAGAGGAGACGAAGAGGGGCGAAATGCGGTACCTCCTCCTGCCAATCATGGCAAACAGAAATGTTTGAATGGAGTTGATTAGGAAAGAGCAGCAGCGCGACTCTCGCTAGGCAGCAGCGCGATCCTAGCTAGGCAGCAGCGCGACTCTCGCTAGGCAATAGCGCGATCCCAGCTAGGCAGCAGCGCGATCCTAGCTACCTAGGCAGCAGCGCGATCCCAGCTACCTAGGTAGCAGCGCGATTCCTAGGCAGCAGCTACCCAGGCAGCAGCTACCTAGGCAGCAGCGCGATCCCAGCTACCTAGGTAGCAGCGCGATCCCAGCTAGGCAGCAACGCGACTCCCACTAGGCAGCAGCTCTTTCCTCGCTAGTAGCAGCGCGATTCCGCCATGTAGCCCGCGACCCAGCCTCTTAGCCCGCGATTCAGCTGCCCAGGCCGCGATCTAGCCGCCCAGCCCGCGATTTAGCCGCCCAGCCTGCGATCTAGCCGCCCAGCCCGTGATCTAGCCGCCTACGCCTCGATCTAGCCGCCTAGCCCGCATTTTAGCCGCTCAGCCAGCGATTTAGCCCCCCCGTCCGCGACCTAGCTGCAAAGCAGCGATCTTGCTGACCAACCGGTGATTTAGCCGCTTAGCCCGCGAACTGCAGGTAGCAGCGCGCAGCTGGGCAGTGGAACCCGCGCCGTAACAGCGAAATCCGCACCGCAGCAGCGAACATCGCGCCGTAGCAGCGAAATCAACGCCGTAGCAGCGAAATTCGCGCCGGGGCAGCGAAATCCCCGTCGTAGCAGCGACATCCACGCCTAGGCAGCAAAACCCACGATGAAGCAGCGACATCCGCGCCGTAGCAGCGAAATCCGCGCCGTAGCAGCGAAATCCGCGCCGTAGCAGCGAAGCCCGCGCCGTAGCGTCGAAGTGCGCGCCGTAGCAGCGAAGTGCGCGCCGTAGCAACGAATTGGGCGCCGTAGCAGCGAAATCCGTGCCTTAGCAGCGAAACCCGCGCCGTAGCAGCGAACTCCGCGCCGTAGCAGCGAAATCCGCCACGTAACAGTGAAACCCGCGCCGTAGCAACGAAATCCGCGCCGCGGCGGAGGGATCAGCGCCCAGGCAGCTATACTCGCGCGTAGGAGCGCCATCGCAGTGAAGCTCGCGCCTAGGCAGCGACTACCACGTGTAGGGAGGACCACAAAGCGAGACCCGCGCCTAGGTACCAACACTTGCAGGTAGGAGCGTCCAGCGTATAGGGGAGTCTCCGTGCGCCAGCGACGCCCAACACCTTCGACTCACCCGGACTGCGAGCCTTATATCGAAGGCGGGAGGCGCCCCTCCAGCGCCCCCCGCAAACAGCTTACGCCATGACCAACGATCCAGACCCCCCAGACCGGGGGAGAAAGATCATCGCGAGGATTGGCCACAAGAGACCCAAGGAGGCAGCGCCGAGTATGCAATACCCACAACTTTGTTGCCTCCACCACGAGGATGCACTCTGCCTTTTTGGCAAGCCCAGCAAGCGACAAAGGTATAGACCCCTCTCGACAGAGGGGGCGACAGAGAAACCACCCAAAGACACTCTCGGCGGCTTCGTAGGCGGCAGCGACACCATCTCCAACCGGGACATGGACGTGACGGACGAGGGCGAGTGCGGTCATGGGGCGCACGGGCAAGGTACCGGTGATGATGCGGCGATGGCTGCATGGGAGGCACACCGCCGGCGACTGCAGGAGTCTCATGATAGGCGGCGGAGGGCCCTAGGAAATCCTTCGGCACGCCCAGCCCTCACAGCTCCGCGCGGGCCTCGCCTGGCCCAAAGGCAAGAACAGAGACGGAGAGCCCGGGCGGAAGGGCAGCAGTGGAGTCCAGCGGGGACACAGCCCTCGAGGCAGGAGGGGGGGCAGCAGAACTGGCTGTTGGGGGAGGCCCGGAAGCCACAGGCAAGGGAGCAGCAGATGCGGCCGGCGAGAGGGGAGCAGGAGCTGCCGGCGAGAGGGGAGCAGGAGCTGCCGGCGAGAGGGGAGCTGGAGCTGCCGGCGAGAGGGCAGCAAGAGCCGCAGGCAAGAGGGCGGCAGGCGCGGTCGGCAGGCGAGCAGCAGGTACTATCGAAGGGAGAGCAGCAAGAGCGGCTGGCGGGAGGGCAGCTGGAGCTGCCGGCGGGGGGGCAGCAGGAGCTGCAGGCAGGAGGGCAGCGGGAGGTGCCAGCGGGAGGGTAGCAGGAGGTGCCAACGGGAGGGCAGCAGGAGGCGCCAGCGGGAGGGCAGCAGGAGGCACCAATGAGAGGGCAGCAGGAGGTGCCGGGGAGAGGGCAGCAGGAGGTGCCGGCGAGAGGGCAGTTGGAGGTGCCGGCAAGAAGGCAGCAGGAGCTGCCGGCTGGGGGGCAGCAACTGGTAGAAGTGGAGATGGCCGAGCTACAGCCAGAGGTGCAGCAGGACCAATCGGGGAACCGTGCCCGGCCACACGCAGGAGGGCAGCAGGAGCCGCCCGGGGTAGAGCAGCGTGAGCTGCCAAGGGAAAAGCAGCAGGAGCTGCCGGCAAGGGAGCAGCAAGCAAGGGAGCAGCAAGCGGTAGAAGTGGAGATGGCCGAGCTACAGCCAGAGGCACAGCAGGACCAATCGGGAAACCAGGCCTGGCCATAGGCAGGAGGGCAGCAGGGGCCGTCCGGGGGAGAGCAGCTGGAGCTCCCAAGGGAAGAGCGGCAGAAGCCGCCGGGGGTGGGGCAGCTGCCGGCAAGGGAGCAGCAAGCAGTGGATGTGGAGATGGCCGAGCTAATGCCAAAGGTGCAGCAGGACCAATCAGGGAGCCAAGTCCGGCTGCAGGCAGGAGAGCAGCAGGAGCTGCCGGGGGAGGAGCGGCAGGAGCTGCCAACAGGAGGGCAGCTCGAGCTGTCGGGGGGAGGGCAGCAGGAGCTGTCGGAGGGGGAGCGGCGGGAGCTGCCGGCGTGGGGGCAGCTGGAGGTCGCTAGTGCGGACTCTACAAGCCAAGCGAAGAGAACCCGGGCACGGGGCCGAGGCGGGAGACGACACGCCCGTAAGACGCAAGGGCGAACTGGAAGCGGAGCTGCCGCACAGCAGGCGGAGGGGCAGCCGGGGGCGACCCAGACACCCCCGGGAGCTCCGCGGGTGGGAGGGCAGCCCTGGGTGCCCGGGGCGCCCCAAGGAGAGCAGCAGCCAGGGGAGCTGCCGGGGGTGACCGGAGCACCCCAGGGAGAGCAACAGGCAGGGGGGCAGCCGAGGGTGCCCGGAGCACCCCAGGGAGTGCAGCAGGCAGGGGGGCAGCCGGGGGTGCCCGGGGCACCCCAGGGAGTGCAGCAGGCAGGAGGGCAGCCGAGGGTGCCCGGGGCACCCCAGGGAGTGCAGCAGGCAGGGGGGCAACCGGGGGTGCCCGGGGCACCCCAGGGGGTGCAGCAGGCAGAAGGGCAGCCGAGGGTGTCCGGGGCACCCCAGGGAGTGCAGCAGGCAGGAGGGCAGCCGGGGGTGCCCGGGGCACCCCAGGGAGTGCAGCAGGCAGGGGGGCAGCCGGGGGTGCCCGGGGCACCCCAGGGAGTGCAGCAGACAGGGGGGCAGCCGGGGGTGCCCGGGGCACCCCAGAGAGTGCAGCAGGCAGGAGGGCAGCCGAGGGTGCCCGGGGCACCCCAGGGAGTGCAGCAGGCAGGGGGGCAACCGGGGGTGCCCGGGGCACCCCAGGGGGTGCAGCAGGCAGGAGGGCAGCCGAGGGTGCCCGGGGCACCCAAGGGAGTGCAGCAGGCAGGGGGTCAGCCGGGGGTGCCCGGGGCACCCCAGGGGGTGCAGCAGGCAGGGGGGCAGCCGGGGGTGCCCGGGGCACCCCAGGGAGTGCAGCAGGCAGGGGGGCAACCGGGGGTGCCCGGGGTACCCCGGGGGGTGCAGCAGGCAGGAGGGCAGCCGAGGGTGCCCGGGGCACCCCAGGGAGTGCAGCAGGCAGGGGGTCAGTCGGGGATGCCCGGAGCACCCCAGGGAGTGCAGCAGGCAGGAGGGCAGCCGGGGGTGCCCGGGGCACCCCAGAGAGTGCAGCAGGCAGGGGGGCAGCCGGGGGTGCCCGGGGCACCCCAGGGAGTGCAGCAGGCAGGGGGGCAACCGGGGGTGCCCGGGGCACCCCGGGGGGTGCAGCAGGCAGGAGGGCAGCCGAGGGTGCCCGGGGCACCCCGGGGGGTGCAGCAGGCAGGAGGGCAGCCGAGGGTGCCCGGGGCACCCCAGGGAGTGCAGCAGGCAGGGGGTCAGTCGGGGATGCCCGGAGCACCCCAGGGAGTGCAGCAGGCAGGAGGGCAGCCGGGGGTGCCCGGGGCACCCCAGAGAGTGCAGCAGGCAGGAGGGCAGCTGAGGGTGCCCGGGGCACCCCAGGGAGTGCAGCAGGCAGGGGGGCAACCGGGGGTGCCCGGGGCACCCCAAGGAGTGCAGCAGGCAGGGGGTCAGCCGGGGGTGCCCGGAGCACCCCAGGGAGTGCAGCAGGCAGGAGGGCAGCAGGGGATGCCCGGGACACCCCAGGGAGTGCAGCAGGCAGGGGGGCAACCGGGGGTGCCCGGGGAACCCCAGGGAGTGCAGCAGGCAGGGGGTCAGCCGGGGGTGCCCGGGGCGCCCCAGGGAGTGCAGCAGGCAGGTGGGGAGCCGGGGGTGCCCAGGGCACCCCAGGGAGTGCAGCAGGCAGGAGGGCAGCAGGGGGTGCCCGGAGCACCCCAGGGAGTGCAGCAGGCAGGAGGGCAGCCGAGGGTGCCCAGGGCGCCCCGGGGAGTGCAGCAGGCAGGTGGGCAACCGGGGGTGCCCGGGGCACCCCAGGGAGTGCAGCAGGCAGGAGGGCAGCCGGGGGTGCCCGGGGCACCCCAGGGAGTGCAGCAGGCAGGGGGGCAACCGGGGGTGCCCGGGGCACCCCAGGGAGTGCAGCAGGCAGGGGGTCAGCCGGGGGTGCCCGGAGCACCCCAGGGAGTGCAGCAGGCAGGAGGGCAGCCGGGGGTGCCCGGGGCATCCCAGGGAGTGCAGCAGGCAGGAGGGCAGCCGAGGGTGCCCGGGGCACCCCAGGGAGTGCTGCAGGCAGGAGGGCAGCCGAGGGTGCCCCGGGCACCCCAGGGAGTGCAGCAGGCAGGAGGGCAGCCGAGGGTGCCCGGGGCACCCCAGGGAGTGCAGCAGGTAGGAGGGCAGCCGAGGATGCCTGGAGCACCCCAGGGAGAGCAGCAGGCTGGGGGGCAGCCGGGGGCGACCGGAGCACCCCAGGGAGAGCAGCAGCTAGGGGGGCAGCCGGGGGTGACCCGAGCACCCCACGGCGAGCAGCAGGTAGGGGAGCAGCCGGGGGTGACTGGAGCACCCCAGGGAGTGCAGCAGGCAGGAGGGCAGTCGATGGTGCCTGGGGAACCCCAGGGAGTGCAGCAAGGAGGAGGGCAGGGAGTGCAGCAGGCAGGAGGGCAGCCGAGGGTGCTCGGAGCACTCCAGGGGGAGCAGCAGGTAGGGGGGCAGCCGGGGGTGACTGGGGCACCCCAGGGAGTGCAGCAGCCAGGGGGGCAGCCGAGGGTGCCCTGGGCACCCCAAGGAGCACAGCAATCAGGGGGGCGATCGATGGACGACCAGGAGCAACAGTTGGAGGAGTGGTGTCGACTTTTGGAGCTTGATACCCCCATGGCGACTGTGGAGGAGTCAGAGGCGGACGAAGCACCTCCCATGCCGCCTTCCCCATGCCCCCGCTTTCCGTGCGACATGTGTTTCCACACTTTCGCTACGCGGGGGGGCGCTGCGAACCACATGAGGGTATGCCGAGCGGCGGAGGCGGAGAGGCGTGCATAGGCTCTCGGCTCGATTCCGTCTCTGGTTGAGACCGACACGCAGGAGCGATCGACGCCGCAGGAATTTGGGGAGGAGGCGTGGGCTGGGGTTACGTCATGGGAAGGGGAAACAGTTTTCAGCGTGGAGGCGGTTGGAGGGAGGACAGTGCGCCGGATCCCACAGCGGGCCAGGTCGGGGGTTTTAGACGCGCTCTGTTGCATCCTTAAGCGCTTGAAGAGCCAGCCGGGAGATGAAGCCGCTACCCTCCTACTCTTGGCGTTTCCGCGCCTCATCCTAGCCATGCCTCCCAAGCCAGGCATAGGTCAGAAGGCGCTGATCACAGAGCGGTTGGGTGCGTTCTGGGAGGGGAGGTGGCGGGAGCTGTTTGATTCTGCCATGGTGGCGGCGCGGCCAGCAGTTCGCCCACTTTCCTACACTTGCTCTGACCAGGGTCCGGATGCCATCCGCCTGTCACGGTGCCGATCTCGGTGCAAAGTGGGGGAGTGGAGCCGTGGATTGGCCTGCCTTACAGCAGGGGAGTTGGCTCGACCGTCTGAGGTCATGATGCAGTCGCTGCGAGAGAAGCACCCGGCTAGCGCTGGCGAGGTACCACAGTGGGTCTGCGATTTCACCATCGATACTGCTCAGCGGCCTTCACTCACGACCGACATCCTGGCCAGAGCTATCCATACAGCCGCTCGAGCTTCAGCAGCAGGGCCATCGGGGTGGGTCTCAGAGCATCTGCGCGACACCTTCCTCACTGAACCTTCCTGCCTTTCCCACTTGTTGGAAGTGTTCAACCAATGGGTGGCAGGACAGGTCCCCGAGCGGGCTCGGCCGTGGCTCGCCGCATCCAACCTAGTCGGGCTTTCCAAGCCTAACGGCGACGTCCGGCCGGTGGCGATCAGGGAGGTGCTTCCTCGTATCCTTGCTCAAGCTCTCTGCATCTCGCTCCGCACTGCAATGGTTTCCTACTTCCTGCCGTGCAACCAGCTGGGAGCGGGCACCAGGGTCGCGGCGGAGATTCTCACTCACTCTTTCCGGTCGGTGCTGGCCACTCACCCCGACTGGTGTGCGCTACAGATAGACGTCGCAAACGCCTTCAGTTCGTTTCACCGTCATGTGATGTTCGATGGGTTGCGGGAGTCGCCTTTCTCAGGGATGATCCCATTCTTGCGTGTCTTTTATGGGACACCTAGCGACCTGTACCTCCGAGCAAGCCCTTTCGTACAGAGCCTCGAGTCAGCACGGGGATCAAGGCAGGGGGACCCGCTCGGCCCTTTTCTTTTCGCGTTCACTCAGCAGCAGGTGATGGAGCCGGTTACTAGGGAGTTCAAGGACCTGCTTTTCCTCAGCTATGCAGACGATACCTATATTTTGGGGCCAGCGGCTAGGATTCTGGAGGCTTTTGGGGTGCTTCGGGAGCGGTTGGAGTGGGTGGGGCTGGAGGTGCAGGCGCACAAGTGCCGGTTTTGGGAGCGCGAGGGCAAGGAGGTGGAGCAGGCACTGCCATTGGGGATGCAGCGGATGGATGAGGGTCTTACTGTGGTGGGCGTGCCTATTGGAGAGGAGGTTTGGGAGGTGGTCCGGCTACGGGAGCGGCTTCGACAGTTGCAGGCGCCACTGCCATGGCTCCCCTTGCTCGACCACCCCCAGATGGCTTCACACCTCCTCGCCATTGCAGTTTCAGCGCGGCCGATGTACCTCGCCCGGACTATGCCGCCGCGTCCGGAGGTAGTTGAGGCTTTTAGGGATTGGGATAGCTGTTTAGAGGATTGCTTTGAGCAGCTTTTTCCACCTGGCACTTGGGAGCAGGACCCCGACCGGTCTAGGCGCGCACGCATACAGCTGCATCTCCCTGTGCGTCTCGGAGGGTTCGGGATCCGGGCGGCGGCCTCACTGTCCTATGTTTGTGGGTGGGCGCAGGCCGCGCGTGACATTGCACAGTTAGGGGTGGCGGGTGAGGAGGCGATGTTTGCAGAGTACCTCACCACTTCGACAGGGGCAGAGTTTCTTGACCCGTGGTTTGTCAAGGCTCTTGAGCAGCTGCCAGCGACTATCCGCCACGAGATACCGGGCTTACCTCTGTGTGTAGCGGCCCCTCCTGTTCGGCTTTTCCAAGCGCGGCAGCGGCACTTAGCTGTAGAGGAGCTCCAGGCACTGCGCCGCTTGGCTCGTGACGATGCCACCTTGGCCCGTTTCACATCCCTTCAGGGCCCGGGGGCAGGTGCATGGGTTTCGGCGGCTCCGGCTCACTCAGATCTCACATTCACTGCGGCTGAGTGGGGCATTTCTGCTGCTATACGGCTCGGCCTCCCAATCCAGCAGCTGCAGGTGGCGGGGAGGTGTGTTTGTGGCACAGCGTTTGTTGTGTCAGAATATTATGCTCTAGCCTGTAGTGGGGTGCTCTATAGCGAGTACAACCCTTCTAGGGTTTGCTATTTGTATCCTCATTCTTGCTAGTGCAATCCTCTCTTCTTTCTTCTAAATTATCACATGCTATCAGAGCAGGTCGATCCTGTGGGTGGGTTCACCACCTCGTTGCTTCCGCTGCAACTGCTACTGCTTCTCTCTGTGCCGCACGCCCCGTGGCGTGCGGCAGTTTTTCTTCCCGCCGTGCGCCCCGAGGCGCGCGGCGGTTTTCTGCCCGCCGTGCGCCCCGAGGCGCGCGGCGGTTTTCTGCCCGCCGTGCTCCCCGAGGCGCGCGACGGGTTTCTGCCCCGTCACTCGGTGCGTCGCCCCTGGGAGGCGCTGCGACGGGCGACGGGGACCCGCGCGTCGCCCCCCGTCGCCGCTCCTATCGGCCCCGAACCGCCGCCAGCGGCCCCGTCGTCGCCGCCAGCGGCCCCGTCGCCGCCACTTGCGGCCCCAGCCCCGCCCCGGCCATGCCTCGTCGCCAGCCGCGGCGCACCGGGGGCACCTGCACCGCCCCCCCCCCCCCCCCCCCCCCCCCCCTTTTCCCGTCGCCCGTCGCGGCTCCTTCGGGGGCACCTGGGGGGTGGCGGGTGTGTGGTCTCCCTTGCTCCTCCTTCTCCTCTGTCTCCCACTACTGCAGCTGCCGCTGAGGGGGGTGGGTGTGTGGGAGTCAACGGAGTGGTGCTAGGGGGTGTGGTGTGAGTGACCCTAGGGGTGCAGTAGGGGGTGTGTGAAATGGGGGTGGGATAGTTTGGGGAGGTTGAAGGGGGTGGCCGCCGAGAAGCTAGCAGCTCCAGTCGCCCGTGAGACCGTTGCGCCAGTCGCCCGTGAGCCCGTTGCGCCAGTCGCCCGTGAGCCCGTTGCTCCAGTCGCCCGTAATCCGTTGCTCGTCTGCCGCTACTGTTAGCCGCGGAGCCAGTTACTCCAGTAGCCCGTGTGCAAGTTGCTCCAGTTGCCAGTGTGCCAGTTGCTCCAGTTGCCCGTGTGCCAGTTGCTCCAGTTGCGCCGTGTGCCAGCAGCTTCAGCTGCCGCCCACTACCTCCTCTCCTCTCATAGTCCCTCCTCCTCCACACTAGCCCTCTGCGATAGCCTCTAGCTTTGCTCATAATTGTTAACTTTAAACTATTGCTTATTGAACTTGTGCTCAGAATGTGTGGTGACATTATGATCCACCCTAAGCTTATACAACTTTGCTTGCTCTGCTGATTACACCCCACTTTGGCTATGGGGGTGTGTCAGAATATTATGCTCTAGCCTGTAGTGGGGTGCTCTATAGCGAGTACAACCCTTCTAGGGTTTGCTATTTGTATCCTCATTCTTGCTAGTGCAATCCTCTCTTCTTTCTTCTAAATTATCACATGTTGACCCAGCAGATCCGCACCATGCCCTGAGATGCAGGCATCAGCATGGTCCTTCTCGGGTGCATGATGAGGTGAAGTTTGTGGTGGCGAAGATCTCTAAGGCGTCGGGGGGGGGTGGTGACAATGGAGGATAGTGTGGTGCTGCATGGGAAGCGGGTTGATGTGGCGGTGCGACGTCCAATGGCTGGAGAAGCTCACGCCCTAGAGATCAGCGTCGCGGACCCGCTATCGCTGTCTCCATCACTGCTGGGACAGTGCGGGCGTCAAATAGGTGTGGCGGCAAGGGAGTGGGAGCGCCGCAAAACGAGTGACTACGCGCCTCTGCTTGCACGCAACCGGGGCGTGCAGTTCACCCCTTTGATAGTTGAGACGTGGGGGTGTCTCGGCGGTCGTTTTCAGCGGTGGCTTCGTCAGCAGGGGGATGCGCACGTGGGACTAGCTGTGTCGCGGGGGGCTTGTCGAGAGGACGACTCTGTGTTTTCGGCTTATCTTTTAGGGTCACTGAAGGCGCTCATCGGGGTGGCGTTACAACGGGCGCAAGCCCGTGTCATCCTGCTTCGAGCAGCGTCTTCCATGGGGGGGATTAACGTAGATTTGGTGGATCGGGAGAGGGACGATGTCGATGTGGAAGGCGGGGCTCTCTGGGTGGAGGCCCCGTACATGGTCGATACATTGATGTGATTGAAGGGGGGGGGGGGGGGGGGGGGGGGGGGGGGGGGATTGGGTGTGGGATGGGATGTCTTGATGGGGTGTCTTGACTGGGCGTTTTGATTGGGTATCTTGAGTGGGGGTTTTATGTGTGCCGCATTTGGGTTCTTTTTGGCAGTTTCATTTTCCTTCTCCCTTTCTTTCTTCATTCCCTTTCCTTTTCTGAAACACTATGGCGGGCAAGGTTTAGGTCCAGTGGGTTTCACGAATGGCTGTAGGTGCTTCGGTGTCTATGTAGTAAACTGTGTGTTTCCAGTATTTGGAACATCATTTAGACCACTATCAACATACTGGAACATATATTACTTAGAAGTTAGAACCCACTTTTGCTTTAGAATATATTTTGCTGACTTGGGTTTGGGATGAACAGTCCCACCCAGTTGCCTAGGGTTTTGTTCTTCTCCCAACCCAACCAACTGCTCCCCCCAAATGCTCTCGAAGCTTTCTCTCACCCTCTTTCCAACTCTCCTGAGGGCGCGTGTGGTCTGTTTAAAAGTTCAAAATAAAGTTCGAACTTTGGGTGGTTACCCTATTCGCTTATTTCGCGAAGGGTGCTTCGCGAACCAAGCATTGTATGGGCTCTGCAAAAGTTCGAGTTTGAAATATGAACTTGACTCGAGTCGGAGGCGGGAACGTGCGTGCGCACGTTCATGCGAGCGTGTGTGATTTGCAGCACGTCCGAACAGCTGGCGAAACGGGCGAGCGCTTCGCCAGTGCATGAAGTTGCACAACGAAGACACCCCACAATTCGTGCACACAGTGGTAGCCACGTGTCCAGCATCGTGGCACGTTCGAGCACGATGTGGCAACGCGTCCCGCCCGTCTTGGCTATTTGTACCCTGGTTACACACTCGGCGCGGAAGGTGAGTTGGAGCTCTAGGTCCTTGTAAACCGAGGCGCAAAATGTTGACGTGGCGCACTGTCAAGACGAGCGAACCGGGTAACCTATGATGTTGACGTGCGGCTCGGCTCGTTTTTACAAGTTCGAATGTCGGGGTTCGACCTTGTATGTGTGTGTGATTTTTTACAGTGTGGTAAGCCCGATGTTCGAACTTCGATAGAAGGAAATTCGAACTTCTTTCGTTGTAAGTTCAAAACTAAAATTCGGCCTAAAAACATAAACTTTTACAAATTTCAAAGACCACACGCGCCCTAAAGCCAATCAAGAACTCCAACCACCTTCCCAGGTACTTCTCTATCTTGTTAGTGTCTAAGCCACGCGCGCCTAGAGCGCTTGCCCTTATCCCTCGTGCAATAGGCAATCAAGCTCGCCTTAGGGCGCTCACGCCTTAGCGCTCAAACCAGGCCGATGGCGCGTAAGCTGCTGGCCCTTGGGCGTTAGTGCCATGGGCGTTGGCCTTAGGCGTCATTGGCGTGTAAGTTGCCGGCGCCGTTGGGCGCTGGCGCCTTTTGGCGCTGCCGCTGGCGCCTTTTGGCGCTGGCGCTGACGCCTTTTGGCGCTGGCGCTGGCGGCTTTTGGCGCTGGTGCTGGCGCCTTTAGGCGCTGGTGCTGGCGCCTTTTGGCGCTTGTGCTGGCGCCTTTTGGCGCTGGTGCTGGCGCCTTTTGGCGCTGCCGCTGGCGCCTTTTGGCGCTGGCGCTGACTCCTTTTGGCGCTGGCGCTGGCGGCTTTTGGCGCTGGTGCTGGCGCCTTTAGGCGCTGGTGCTGGCGCCTTTTGGCGCTTGTGCTGGCGCCTTTTGGCGCTGGTGCTGGCGCCTTTTGGCGCTGGCGCTGGCGCCTTTTGGCGCTGCCGCTGGCGCCTTTTGGCGCTGCCGCTGGCGCCTTTTGGCGCTGGCGCTGGCGCCTTTTGGCGCTGGTGCTGGCGCCTTTTGGCGCTGGCGCTGGCGCCTTTTGGCGCTGGCGCTGGCGCCTTTTGGCGCTGGTGCTGGCGCCTTTTGGCGCTGGCGCTGGCGCCTTTTGGCGCTGCCGCTAGCGCCTTTTGGCGCTGGTGCTGGCGCCTTTTGGCTAAGAGAGAATGAATTTGTATGTTTTTCTTAGTTAGGTCATCGTTACGTATCTCGTGGCTCCCATGATGCTTGGCTGGTGCACGCTTACTTCGTGCGATGGCGGACGATGGTTAGAGGGTTAGAGTGTGCGTGGGGGAGAGAGAGGAGTGAGGGAGAGCGAGTGAGTGAAGGAGAAGTGAGCGAAGGAGAAGTGAGCGAAGGAGAGGGCGTGTGCAGGGGAGGCAGCGCCAGTAGTTAGATTTAATCTGTTTTTACCGGTCACGGCCAACTATTGCACTCTTCAAGAACATGTATGTTGTGCGGAATGCGTGAGCTATATAACCTGTATTTTGTTTTTCTTGTGCAGGGCGTGCCGGTTGCATCTGTTTTTGCTTTCCTTTGCAGGGCGCGAGCTGCATTATGTGTTTTTGCTTGCGAAGATAAGGGGGGAGGGTGTGAGAGAGAAGGGGGAAGCGAGATAAAAGATAGATGTGGTGGGGAAGGGGAGGGGGGGGGGGGGGGGGGGACGGGGGCAGGGGGGCACGGGGGGGATGGGGGGGAGGAGGGGGGCAGGGCGGGGGGCAGGGCGGGGGAAGGGGAAGAATGGACACACTAGCAATGCTGTATGCGTAGCTTAACTCGTTTGCAATGCTTGGATGCTTGCATGCTCATCATGTGTGTATCTGTGTAGTTGTGCGTATGTGTGTATGTATGTGAGTGTGTGTCCGTATGTGTATATATGTATGTGTGTGCCTGTGTGTGCGTATGAGTTCGTGGTTGTGTTTGTTTCGGGGTGATGATAATTTGCCTTGTGTGTGCAGCAGAGGTTGTCATCGTCGTTGGGGCAGCGTGTTTTCGCTGTTTCAACGACCCCATCAATCTCTGCTGCAGCATCGATGCATTTTAGCATTAGCTTTGAAGCATTCACAATCGTTGCGTATTATCGTAATCCTAATAGTACGCGTTTTACTCTTGTTAATGTGTTGTGTTTGTGTTTTGGAGCGCGGTGTTGATATGGGTCGTGTATGCAAATTGGGGTTGTCATCGTCGTTGGGGCAGCGTGTCTTCGTTGTTTCAACGACCCCATCAATCTCAGTTGTTGCATTGATCTATATTGACATCCTCTTCGAAATGTTTTTGTTGTAAACGTTAACTCTGTTCTGTGCTGTTCAATTGAGAAAGCCTGCTTCTTGACTAGCAATAAACATCGTCTTCATTGCTTGTGGTTCAAGTACAGCATTGCCCGTCATATAACCAGAGAATATTACATCAAGTCTAAGCATGCAGGGGGTGGGGGGGCAACTGAACTTGAAATTCAAAAATGAAAACGTGGGTGAGGCCAAATGGCCGAAACCCCTTCTTTTGTAGTCGGAGAAGGGCGAATAGCGCTTCGACGATGCCTTCAAGTGCTGCGTACAAGCTGCTGCGCTTTCTCAATAAGTCATTTTAGAAAGTGTAACACTTTCGAAAATATACATATTGAGAAAGCTTGCTTCTTGACTAGCAATAAGCATCGTCTTCATTGCTTGTGGGTCCTCTGAAGCATGTGAAGCAAAGGTTGCCGTTGGCGAATGATGGCATACTCATGCTGCGGAGGAGCCGGTGCGGCGTCAGCCTTATGAAGTCGTTGGGAGGCGGACACCAAGTCTTGGGTTGCTATTGTCACGTAAAGGTCACTGGCCGTACTGCTGCGCCAGCGACCGAGCCTTTGGAAGACGCGGTCTGGGACTCCTACACTCGCAGCCATGGTGGCGGCGCCTTTGCGGAATGAATGGGTTCCCAAGTGGGTGTCGCTGAGGCCGATCTTAGCGAATGCCTCTTTGCACCAATTGCGAATGGTCGTGTATGAAGGGGAGGTAGGTGTTGATGATGCCGATGTACGACGACCAAAGACACGGATCAACGGCCCGTGAGTGAGAGGCCCGTATTGCGCGAGCTGTATGAAGCGTTGGGTGCAGCGTACTAGGCAGAACGGGCCCGGTGTTGCCGCCACTGGGACCCACATTCCACGACCCTCCTGGGTTCCACATAACCTCATCTTCGAATTGGATGTCTTCCCAACGAATTGCCATGAGATCCGAATATCTCAGGAATGCCACATACATGAGCAGGGGAATGAGTCCCTTTTGGAATTCTGCAGGATCTGTGGCGGATAGTTAGTGTTGCGCCATGTCGTGGACTTGGTGAAGAGACACAGGCTCCTTGATCCGAGATGGGCGCGGGCAGTGCCGTTTGGCGTACTCGCGAACTTGGCTGGTGAATGGGCCTGCGACGGGACAAGGAGCTCCGATCATGCGGTGTGCGAAAGTGACTGCCGAGCAGGTGAGCTGTACCATGGAGATTGTTGCCTTTTTCTCGATTGCATGCACCAAGTAGAGTGCAAGCGTTGTGTCGGTGGTTGGTAAGAATGACAGCTGGAACCGGTCGTAGAAGGAGCGAAACTTTAGCCAGTAGGGGTCGTACGTGCGAATTGTCGAATCCGCCCTAACTTGGGATGTGATAAGCAGAAGTCGGTGATGGAGCCTGACCATGGTGCCTGTGCCATGAGAACAAGAGCATGCTCAATGATTATTCGAAGGAAAACAGGAGCGCATGCATAATGCTGTTGGGGAGACCAGTGCCCGAGAATGCGGTTGTGTGGGTGCCTACACCAAGGCACTGGCTGCCGCTGGTGAGTCGGATGTGGGTCTTGACTTCTGGTGCCCATCCGTTAGCCGTTAAGTGAACTTGGTGAGAAGAAACGAGAATGAATGACTAAGGAATGAAAGTGATACAAGTATGCAACCCTAGAATTGTGTACCCCATATAGGCTACCCCACAACAGCCTACACAACATTATAATTTGACACACCCCCATAGGCAAAGTGGGGGAGAACAAAGGGTCACAAGACCAGTCAAGCAGAGCAAAGCAAGCTCAGGGTGGATCACAAAGTCACCACACATTCCGAGCACAAGTTCAAGGCCACAAGGCCAGTTCACATGCAGGAGTACATATATATATAGAGAAGGCTAGACAAGCAAGAGCAGG